CCTCCCTTTTCCTTACTTTGGACAGGAGACAGCGCTGTTCTGAAGTGAACGGTTGAACATCTCTAAGAAGACTCTAGATGTACCTCACCGGTGCTACGGAACCACCCGCTTCATCCACAGCCCCACACAGCGCTGGCGAGGGCTGGCACTCAACACCACGGAAGATGCGGCCGGGCAGCATCAAAAAAAAGCATTGCCACCATCCACCCTGCACGCCAGCCTGGAAAATACGACAGGCTCTGAATCTCCCTCCAGCCACTAGCTGAAACTTGGCAATGCTGGAGGAGAGCCAGCAGAAAAGAGACACGCAGCCAAGGGGGGTGACCCAGCAGTTCCATGAGCCATCGCTGTTCTTTCCAGTGAATGGGTATTCATTTTAATTAAATAAATAGCCTCCTGCGAGGTTTTCTGCCTTACTTCCTGACACTGGAACTTCTTCGCAGCCATCCTTCCTGCAGGCAGGTATTATTGCCTTTCGTACTCAGAAATGCAGTGAACTCCTGAATTGACTTGAGCCAGACTCAGTCGTGTTACAACTCTACCGAAGTCCGACTCAAGGCTGAGTTTGTTTTACTGACACGAAGTGGCTGGCAGGAGAGCACTCCGACACGAGTCCCGCAGATCCTGCAGCGGAAGCACCAACTGATTCTGCAACCAGTTTACTCTGGGCCTAGTCTAACTTAGGAGGTAACAGAATAGTTTCTATTTCATTTTCACGGTAGTTCAAGAACGTTCAGATTTACCAGTTCTACGTTTTCAGTTTCACATGGCAAGATTCTCTCTTTCAAATCAGATTCGGAGCAGAATGGCAACCCGTTAGGAATTTTTCATTCTGGGTTGGTTTTTCTACTTTACGTCTCAAATGATGCTTTTCAGCAGTGTGGCAGCAAGCTCTAAAATGACAGGATAATCTGAAAACTTTTCACAGCTTACAGAAGGTAAGAAGTGTTTCTTACTGTGCGAGCTTTCAGGTTGTCATGCTTTGTAAAATGGGTGCAATTTTCTTCTAAAATGAAATGTTAACTTTAGAAGAATGCACTGGAGGGAAGAATGCTATTCCTCCAGAGTGAAGATCTTTTTCTCTTCTCTATTTTTATCAATGTAAACATATAAAAAAATGACAGATGTGTGCAAACTAGTCTGCACACAAACAAACTTCCGTTCTACAAGGGCAGGCTCAGCTGAAAGCCTGACCTGCCCACAGGTAAACGCTAGCCCTTGGAAAATAAGGGTTTATTACAGAACGATCCCATTAGCGGATGCGTTAACTAGAATGTTCGCCTGCCCGGCAATGCTGGGAGAATACGGATGATGCTGAGCCTGCTGATAGCCTTGCTGCTGAAAGAATGCTGGTGCATGCCTGTGGCACGTACCTTTACCGCTTTCGTTGTATCCTACGCCCTGCCCTCCACCCCCAGCACTTTCCGACGTGGTGTGACTGGCCACGTTTAAAGGGGTGACTTAAAAACCCCACGTCTAACTACACAGATACCAAATCTAATTCTCATATTAAATTCGACAAACCCCACACTCTACTTTCAATACACCTACCACCCACTAAACCTCGATTATACACCGGCTTGTACGGTGAGTCTGCAGAATCCTTCAGAGCAACGCGCATCTCTGTAGGAGTTCTCCGCACAGTAAGGCAGCGGGTAGTTGTTTCCGTACATCTCCCTAAGCATCTATATTTATCAAACAACTTCCCCCACTTCGATAAAGCATTTGCTAGTATTACATAGCCCTATCCTACTATAGAACAGGGTGTGCATACGCAGGCAGCAAAAACTGCCAAAGGCTTTTGCAGGACACAATTCTCTGTCCAGATTTCCTCCTGAAGGACGCTGCAGACCCCTCAGCTAGCACCACCGAGATCCAGGACTATCCAAGTGTATTCACTGTCACATTCCTGCGTACCTGTAGGCAGTGAAGAGCACTTTATGGGTTTTTCACAACCTACTGTTTTAGTCACGTTGCAGTGACCCTGCACACTGCGCACCCACACTCGCAAACTCTCTTTTCAAGAATGTTAAAGCTACCTCGCCACTGTCGGGGATGAACACCACGTGCAAAATCAGCACAGCAGGAGTGTTCTTTTACCTATGTAACCGCTGAGCCCTCTAAACAGAGCATTCAACCATTCCTTCTCTGCATTTTCCCGTGCCTCACTTCCATATAGCACTGCTGAAAGAGAGGATCCACTTAGTAGGATCACAGGGATGCTGTGAAGTGAATCACAGGCCATCCACCCTTGCTTTTATCCTCTGCTGGAACGGCGAAGTTGTAGGAGAGGAAGCAGCTCCGGGATGTGACGAACAAACTCAGGCTGTTTTCAAGTGTAACAGAACGCCCACAATCGATCATTCCAGCCTACGCCGGGCTGCTGCTGAAGTCGATGAAGCTCTCCAATACAGAGGTAAAAAGCAATCAGCTCATTTACAGCACTTACTTTTGTATTGTTCCAAAGCCCTGTATTTATCCGTATCTGGGTACCAAGATGCTAACGGAAGCTACGGATGCAGCAGCATTTGGACTGAAGGGCATTCTGAAGAAACTGAAAGCACAGACCTTCCTCCATTTATTTTTCCCAACACTACGCTTTGCCATCTTTACATGGAAGGAACTTCATGTATATTCCCAGGGACCCCAGGATTTGCTAGGCAGTGTATGCAATGAGCTCGGGAACGCATTGCCATCCGGTAGCCTCGCAGAGGAAGAACTGGGTGTGTCAGACAGACAGCCTGTGCAAGAACCCTCCTGCTGTCCTCCAGCACCCTCCCCAACCCAGCAATACCCAAAATGTGACTACAAAGAAAACTGACCCCATTTTGGTACCACCCTTTCCCAAATGCTGTTGAGAGAAGGACGAGACTTTGTGGGAACAAGTAACACCATCTGCCTTCTGAGACTCAAAGTCGCTGCCAAATAAACATTGAAACATGTAGGCGGTGCATTTCATGCCATGCTGCCCCTCTGCTCAGGGGATTCACTCCATGTCTGGTTTCTGGAGGGGGAGACCTTTTTCACTCCAATTGGCCTTCCTCTATTTCTCCTGAGAGACACTCTTAAATGTACAACTTTGTGAAAATTGTTAGCAAAGAACTGCTGCTATTTTAAGTGCACATTAACATCAGAAAAAAACCCTTCATATTCCTCACAAAAATACGTTGTAGTACTTTTCTTCAAAGAAATGATGATCATTATTACTTTCGGTAAGAAGAAAAAAAAGGAACAACATATATTTTTCTAATCAAAAAACAAAAAAAGGCAAAAATGACCAAGTGGGCATTGGCCATATCTGCTTACATCTCCATTCTCTTTTCTCTATATGCACATAGATCTGCGATGTGCATAAGTATAGATACGCGTATGATGAAATTTGGTTTCAGCTCCACGCATCTCTCTCAGGTTTTTGTTTACAACCTGTATGAGAATGACTGAACATTATTAACCTCAAAAATAGGTTTCCAAAAACATGCACACATCAGTTTTCCACCCACGGTCTGGGTTATTTCAAAATAACTGAATGAAGCCAATCAGACACACTTTTCCTTTAGACTGTGCCCTGATAACCTAACGGTTGTATTTCCAAACACACAATGCAAAATCAAAAGTAACGTTTCCAAAATACAGGCGGCAGCTTTTTCAGGGTGCTGAGCCTACAATTTAAACTCTGATGGATCTTAGTCTCAACAGGGGAGAAGATTTCTCGTTTCGTTTTGGGTATTCTTTTTTCCTAAATAATCCTAGCAAAGACAAGGGCAGCAAGCAGAGTGAAGTCAGTTGTGTGAAGGAGTTTGGGCCCAGGAACAGAAATGGAATTGTCCTTAACAACACAGTCGGCATGCTTGGAAGCTGATGCATTACAGGATGTTTTCTTCACAACAACTGCTGTATTACCAGACAGCACACTTGCATGATGCACGCGATTTTACTCTTTCTCATTTCAAAGTACCGTTGGGACAAATTTTGCCCTTGGATAAGCATGCTCAGGCCCCACTGAAGCCAGGCAGTGGAACTTACAGTCATGTGTCCGAGAGCAGAATTTGTACCCAGTGTCATAAAGAAAGAAAACTGTTTAGTGGATAAATAATGAAGAAAAGGAATTTACAAAACAAACAAGCAAGCATTAAAATATAATTAATTACAAAAAAATAAACAAAAACCAAAAAAACCAGAGCCACTTACAGGGCTTGATGGAGTCTTTGGCCAGCCTGGGCTGCTAATGCTATCACTTTCATCTCCATGAAATGAGGAGATGCTAGCAGAGCTTGGGGACATTGGGGAAGGGACTGGCAGGTTGCCTGGGGTTGGGGGCTGAGAAATACCCT